GTTTGAAAAATTTCCAAAGTAGTTGTTCGACAGCACAGAAAGTTAGCCTATAGAAGAAGCGGTTTTTTTCCGCGTATCCAGGCAAAGGAAGACGTGAATCGCTTCTCGATCCACTCACTTAAACAAAAAAAAAAGACAAAAAAATGACCCCTGTTTTGCAGGAGTTTACAGCTTGATTCGCTTCGGGGAAGACGGCACAGAATCATCTGCGGGGGGAGGAACCTATTAGATAGATCTCCTGTGTTTCATCTGGCTCGTAGTGATGCGGAAAGATGTGTACTTTTCGATCACTTAAAAGAAATGATGAGATTTAATCTTTAGCTTTTTTGAAGCCACAATAACCAAGATAAAACAAAAAGATAGGAGCACATAGTAACTTGATAGATTAATAGGTATAGCTCAATTTTGAATGTTACTTGGAGAAGACAAACGTCATTTGCTCACATCGAAGACTTTCTTCATTTGGTAAGACAAATCAGGTAATTGATCAGCCGAGTCAGCGACGTCTCGTTGCTGACACAAAACTGGTTTTGTATCGATATTTTTCATTTAAGGTTTCTTTTAAAACCTACCTTCTTTGTTCCTTTGCAAAGATAGACCTTCTCGAAACTTCTTCGTTTGAATTAAATTTTAAAAGCTGATTGTCGCGGTTTTCATTTTCACTGTACCGATAAACATATCATGACGGTTGAAGGCGTTTAAAATTAACATTTTGTTTCAAAAAGGAACAAACGATCGAAGATTTAAGGGCAGTTATTTAGACAAAGTTTAGCAGTTGTTTAACAAAACCGCGATCTAAACTATCTTGAATCGAATTTAGCTGAATCTTTTATCTGGACATTTATTTGTGTGGGCCGAAAGCTCGAAGTGGAAGGACTTTTTTCAATGAAAACAAATCTATGAGAGAGAATACGTGAGGCCCACTACTTGCGGAAAAAACCGGTCCTTAGTTTCTAAGAATTCGTTTCCCACAGTGGTTTGTCTCTTTATAACAACTTTAGTTGATCAACATAAAAAAAATGAATATAGATCACATTTCGTGTAGCCAATATAGAGATGATTTTTCTGAGTTTCGAGGTGTTTGGAAATATGATCAAACACTATCTCGAGTGTTTGATACGCATCCTGATCAAGAAACAAATCCCACACATTGAGATCAGAGTTCAAAGTGTTAGTTACTGTTAAAGACTCATGTTTTCTTACATATAATTTGACCACCCTACGCGAAACCGTGACCTGAAGCACCGTTTTAAAATTTGCAATGATCAAACTTTTTCGGAGGAGCAAGACATGCACAAACTAGATGGATTTACACTAAATAACCAATCGAATGAATCAAAATTCTGGTCAGAATAAGATTTTATACAAGCCTGTCAGAGAATTTTGCTCCGTGTTTTCTTCATACAATGATGAAGAACGACACCAACCAAACGGCTTCTCAGTGTTACATGTCTGTGTAATCTTTACTGTCAACAGGGTAACTGATGTACCTATAGTTTACGACGTTGCTTTAAATGAAGAGAAAAGTTCATTTGAACACAGTTAACCTTGTGCTAAGAGTACCCGTGTACAGTTAAGTTTTTTCCTTTCATTTAACTGTCGTAAAACGACAACGCATCAGTACTGTACTTGGTGTCTACAAAGACAGATTTATGAATTTTATTTTTTACCAGCTCGTAAAGCTATTCAAATAATGTTATTTCTAATCAACAGTACCATTATCTTACTGCTATGTCCATCAACTATCAAAAAAAAGCACCAATTTTTAAAATACCACTTAAAAAAATATAGAATTTGGGAGGAATATAGTACAATTCCCATTTAAAACAGTAAATCTTTACAGACTTACTACAAATTAAGCTTTGTTTGCTGATTGCCAGACATTGATTATAAACTGCTCTTGGCTCAAACTTTTAGTCTTGGAGTCAGAGATGAATTTAAAGATCACTTAATTATTACAACGGTTACACAAAACTTACGCTCTCTTTCTATGCTATTTAACTGCCACTACTGATTAGCACTTTCTTGGTAAACAAACTGAAGAGAGGTTTTCCCTTCAGAAAATTAGCACGTGATATTTATTGAAAAGCTAACCATATTGAAGAGCTAACTATTGTACGCGCTCGACTAGTACCAATTTACCAATAAGATCATCATTTCTATCATTATTGTTGTTATAATTTATTTGTGTCTGAGAGACCAGCCAGCTAATCAATTCACTGACTGACTGACTTATTGACGGTGCGCAAACATCGACAACTGTCAAATACTGACAATTTAGCAATCTTCAA